CTGTGGCCACCACTGGTTAGAAAAAGCCAATCTTTTGTGTAGGATGGCGCCAGACGATGTACCTGGCGGACATCAGCCATAAAGGAGCTTTACCTTTCCAACAGATCTGGGAGAAATTCCACACTTGCAAACCATTCTGTTTTCTGTTTGTAATGCTGCAAATCCCCTGCATTGACAAAATGCCTGGGAGAGGCATGGAGAAGCATTAACTTGAAGCCCAGACACAATAAAATCCATGGGTCAGATTCTCTGCTTTCACGGTGTGCAGCAGGGAGCGGGTAGGGTCAAGGAGCCGGTTATAACTCCCTGATTTTCACGCTGCCCACTCACTGGACTGCCACCTGGGCATGGCCAGAGCAAAGCATGCTCTGTCTCCTCCTCCTCCTCCACTCCCCACCATCTTCAGGGGGGGCTGCAAGGTGTTGTAGGAGCCAGCTGGAGAGTCCACCACCCGAGGACAATCCCCAGCAAGGGGGAGGCGGCCAGTCTCTGTTCCCTTGTGTCACCTGAATGGAGCCCAAAAGAGAACCTGTCCCTGTGAGAAATCCGGCGCTCTCTGCTAAAGTCAGATGGCAAATGGAATGGAGGTGGAGAAATGTATCTCTGCTGGCTGGAAACAAACCCAACATGACTTCCCTGGAAAAGAGAAACTCCCCAGCGTTTCCAACGTTCTAGGCACTGCAGCTAGACACAAACTGGGACTTGCCCCTCTCTCTTGATTATAACAATGGTTTTGTTTTTAAAAGACAGACACATTTCCCCTCCTATCCCACCACTCACTGGCCCAATGATCCCTAAACCACCCATCCTCCCAACAGCCAGATCCAGCCCGCCCAGGCTTCCCACCAGACGATCCTCAAATGAACAATCCCTCCAGCCTGGGATTCCGGCAGCAATTTCCTGCTGTACAGACTGTCCTATCTGCCACCACCGCTCCCAGGCCTCAAGCAATCAGGAGAGAGCTGCACAAGCCCACACCCCTGGCTTCTATCCCAGAGGGAGGTGCTGAGGCTAGAGGGGAGCTTTTCCCACATTCATTCAGTGTATTGATGGGGTTTCCCCTCCAGCAGACACTGATCCCTCTGCATTTCCCAGAACAACTTGCACCGTGAGTAGATCTGCCCCTCTCTTTTCCAGGTGGCTTTTCCAGTGCCTGTTTTCCACAGCTAGACCTCACGGAAACCTTCCCTTTGGATCTTCCTGCTCAATCCAACACGGTCTGATTCCCACAGGCCCCCCGTGGCCAGGATTCTCTTCCTCGCTTTCACTCACCATCCCATCTTCCACTGTAACAGGAAGAGACTTCAGCCGTAATGAATCCCCTTGCTGCAGGGAAAGGTAGTCTGGAAGGAGGAACAACAAAGGGCCTGTTCTTAGCTGTTTATAAAGGCTTTCGACCCAGAGGAGGATGCTCTAGGTTTCAGAATCCCCAGCTGAATGTTCACAGAAGAGGTGAGCCAGAGGAGAGTATCCGTCCAGAAATCAGTCAGTACTGGGGGAAGCCAGGAGTGACGTCTGCCATGAGCGTATGGCGATTGCCGGTTGCAGCACCAGACAAGAGACCCAGTGGGCAGCAGCAGTTTCACTCTCCCCTTCCTCCTCGCGTGCCTATCCCATGCACAGGCCGCCATGAGAATCCTCCACCCCCACGCATGTTTCCCGTGGGAGAGGCTCACCCAAGCACGTTCCCCTCAGACGTTGTTCTCACCCTTTTCCATGAACACCCTGTGGGAGACAGCCCCACCTGTTTTCCCCTTGTGAGACAAGGGGACCCATATGCATGTTTTCCCCCTCCCAGAGAAATGATTCCCCCCCAAAAAACATTCACTCTGCTGTGCCTTCCCCATGAAGCACCTACACCTCTTATACACTCCCCCACACGAGATGCTGAGTCGCAAAGGCATTGCCCTTTATGATTCACCTGCTCCATCTGAGCATCTCACAAATCTATCCCCACACCACACAATCCGATGTGCCAGGGTGTCCCTGAGGCACTCACCTTTTTATGCATGCTCCCCCCATGCCATGCCTGGTCTGACATGCCTGTGTCAGTACACAAAGCCCTTCATATAAGGCATAGCCCCTCCATTAAATGCATGCGCCAATGCCCTCTCTCCCATGAGATATCTGCTCCCATACACTCACTCCACCCATGGTGGCTCATGCAACGCTCATCCCCAAACATAACCTTCCCCTATAATAAACTCACCCACCTGTGCATGCTCTTTTGTTGGACACCTACTTCCCCTACCCAGGCTTACTCTATGGGATGTCTGCCCTGTACACACACTCTCCCATTAGATATCTGCCCCCACGTGCACTCCTGTATGAATGTTCCCCATGGAACAACTACTGCTGTATGTGCTTTGTGTTCTGCAAACTCTCTCTCCCTACACAGGCTTTCTTCCATGCTAACGAAGTCTGGAAACATACATATTCTAGATTGATGCTCTTTGGGGGCAGAGGGTGTCTTTTGTATCCTGTGCTTGTACAACTGGGTCCTGCTCCATGACTGGGGCTCCCAGGAAGAAGCTTTAAGCAACACACCACCCCAGCCATAGTAGAGAGCCTGGCACACTGGACCTGGTGCAAGATCTAAGGCCTGAACCAGATACGGTGAACCAAAATCAGACCATATATTAAAGCAGATGCTCACAAGTTCACTGCCCAGTACATGAACTTGGCAAAGCTGTTGCTAGTGTACTAGGCACTAGATATTTCCGTACATCGATTTCAAGGCAAGCACAGATACACCCCCAATCTGGTACAAGATAAGATGGTTTGACAAAACAATGAATAGGGATGTTTTGCCCAAGATATCAGGAACAAGGGGTGGTAACAAACAGATGTCATGAAATACGTAAGGTGGTGTATGTTAGTTGTTTGCTTTAGCCTATAAATGTTGGGGTATTTCACCTTAATTCTTTGTTCGGCCGAGAGGGCAGCGGAAAGTCCCGCCGCGAACTGAGCTGTTCCTTGCCACAGGGCACTCATGTGTTAGCATATCTGTAACATGGAGCCAGGGTGGTAGGACTGTGTTTTAATGGCAATAAACCTTGCTGAGTGCCTTTGTCACTGAACCGTGCCCATGATCCTTCTTTATGAGAAACAGCGAGGTCTTATCTGCTCCAAGAACAGAAGCACTGGACCGCCTGAACGGCATTACTAAGGCAACGACAGTCCAGCCTCAGCACTTAACCACACACGGTAATACTATTGAGGTCTGCTGAACCAGCTGTCTGCACAGAGCTGGACAGTACGCTGAAAGAACACAGACCTGCAAGCCAACTGACAACACTGGCTATTTGTGAGTAGAAAGTGCTTGCTGAGGAGAGAACACATCTAAAATCAATACAATCACCCAGTATCTTTGCTTTGAGAGAGGTCAGCATTAAATATATTATTTGTTGCTATTTTCTTCTCTATCTGCTTAACTGCAGCAGGACCATGCATAGCTTTCAAACAATGACAATTTCTTAAACATTTGGAGGTTGGGTAAGAAGATGATCACAAATGGTCTCTTCTGGCTTTATAATTATGAATCTTATAGTCTATTAACATTTTAAGTAAAATTTTCATAAGATCCTTAGTCCCACTGAAAATCAATGAGATATAGATGCCTTTAGTCTAAGTCTTGATGACCTTCCTGTTTGAGGTTATGATATAATCTTGCTTCCCAGAATCTCATGTTTTTTTTCCCAGTCTCCACTGTAATGGTTGCAAAGAAATCATTGACAACCTGACTAGAAAGAAGCTGATGTAGCTGAGTTTGCAGAGAGACTGAAACAATTGCTCTGGGTACGGCGCACCATTCTATTCATCCCTCAGCAAGGGATTGGGGTTTAACATTGAGGTCCAAATATGTTAATTTGTCAACATAGGTAACGGCTGATCAAAGTATGTAAAAAAGCAGCAGGATAAACACATGCACGGTCTATGGTGAGCAGCCTCTCATTTAGGTGTCCCAAACAGGTGATGCTTATGAAGTTATCAGCACTTTCCCCACAGTCTAGCCTGTGGAGCCAAAAGGGAGGAGCAGGGAAAAAGAAAACAGCAGAACCCTTCCCCAGAGGGAGCTAATTTCAGAGCCCAGGATTGAATCTGAATCCCAAGAAGGGAAAGCCAATCCCAGCAGAGCACATATGAATATGAACATCTTTGGAACATCTGTACAGTCAACTACTTCACTTTGGTGTCTCAACTGGGCAGAGTTTGGCTTGCAGTTTGAGTTTGGAAGTACCACTGCTTTTTTTGCCCCAGTTCAAGGCCGGTCTTGCAGGCTCCCATTCGCAAGTCAGCCTTCTTTTGGCCCATGAGCCCTCACTTCACTTGTATGCTGGACAAGGTTCTTGCTGAAAGCTTGAGCTCACTGTCTCAAGGAGGAAGCTGGAGGTACAATCTTCTAAGAAGCAGGCCCAGGCCTCTGCCATTGATTTCTTATAGGCGTATAGACTAGGCAGGGACTTCGTTGCGTTTAGGATTATATTTTTAATTTAGACAAGGCTCTGAGCAGAATATCACAAGACACTGCACCAGCCCAGAAGTAGCTTCAGGATACACTGTGAGTGAGGTTAACCTGAGTCACATTTCCTCCCCTCCTTTCACATGCCCCATTGGGGAAGGCGGTTAGGCAGCAGCAGCAAATTACAACAGTCCTTGTGCTAAATGATTTCCTGAATAATGGGCCAGATTGAAAACTGCAGGCAGTAAGAAAGCAAAGCGTATGCCCTCAATGTAATCCTGTAAAAGACACTCCAATACCAAGGTGACAAATGCTCTATATTTCTTATAACAATAACACTAAAAGATCTGCATATGTATTAGTCCCAACAGTAGCCAATGGTATAGTTTGTTATGCCATCTATATCTTGCTCTTTCTTCAGATGTGTACAATGGTCTCTATAAATAAGATCACCCCCTTTTTTGTTGTACAATTTTTATTGTATAAAATCTAATGACCAGATCAAATAATCTTTATTTAAACACTGACCACTAAAGTATTGAAACAATGTTATAGTTTATTTCCTGTAATTCACAAGTGAGCATGCACTAATAATAATAATAATGATGATAATAAAAAAAATCTACAGTTGAGGTTTGCAATTCACATTTCATTTCCAAAAAACAGGCCTTGAAATTCCAAAGCACAAGAATTTTCTAGCACTAGTAAAGAAAGCTCTCGCTCTAAAGCTAGAGAATACACCACACTGACAACTCAAATAGCATATCTTCTGCACACTAAATTCTTTGACACACATGGGCTCTCCAAAAGCAGATTTCTGGACAATCCAGTTCTTTTGTTCCTTACTCCTGGGGTCTACTCTCCTCTATATACATGCATTTTAGCTCCCATTAATGTCCTGTGAATACCAGGTAATTAGATTATATGTTCATTTTAAACGTTCAGAGGCACTGAACCAAATTAATCTCTTGTTTGAGTCACGATGTCAAGGGAATCGAAATGAATATGGTCCAGATTACTTGTTAGATTTTTCAGGTCTGCTGCATCTTTTTACGCATCTCTTCCAGTGCTGCTGCTCGTTCTGTTAATAGCCGTTTCAGTCGTTTTATTTTTTCATCCCTGATCGTTTCATCCAAGTCCGGTGGAGTCAAAAGGAAAGCATCATCTCGAAAGGAACTTTCACTAGTCGAAACATCATCTTCGGAAGAAACTAAATCTGAACAGCATGTGTCTTGAACTTGGTTATCTTGAACACATGGGTCTTGCTCCGAGTTCCTCCCTAGAGACGATCTGATAGAGCCTGTGGAATTTTTCTGCTGTGATAAGACTGGTGTGGATGAAATACGCTTGTTAAGTATTACAGAACTGGTGCTGTTGTTTTCCACGCTTGGATTTATGGCTGATTTCACCACCATTTTCGTTCTCTTTCCATTTTCTGGCATTGGTGAGAGTTTTGCTTTTCTTTTTTTAGTCAAATCCTGTTCCAGGTCCACAATTATCTGTAAATCAAGAAAAACAAAAAAACATATTTACACTAAATTGCATAGCATTTCAATGTTTTATCATCAAGGTAAATTAAGCACATACTAGAACAACTATTTGTTGTAGTTATCTGAGGTTACTGTGCTGAAATAATTTATTAAATGGTTTGATGCAATATGCTCCAAGGTTAAGGTTACCCTTAAGTAAATAAATATTAAAAAGTATGTAAACCTGCAGAATCCTAATTCTGTCCCCCACCAACACCAACAGAACAAGAGGAAACCAAGAGCTGATCCTATCTTCCAACAATGCACACCAACAACTGTGAAAATTGACAAGCCATCTAACTGAACTACATCACTGTTGTTGACTGACTGATTGTTACTTGCAGCAGTTGAAAAGAACCAGGTTATCTTTGCATCCTTGCCATAAATTACTACTGTAAGAACACACATAGGACTTGTTTACATTTAAAATGCTGAAGTGGCAGTGCTGCTGTAGCACTTCAGTGTAGACACTACCTGCGCTGACGGGAGAGATTCGCCCATTGGTGTAGCAATCCACCTTCTTGAGAGATCATAGCTAGGTTGGCGGAAAAATTCTTTTGTGGATCTAGCGCTGTCTACGCGGGGACTTAGGTTGGCTTAACTATGCTGCTCAGGGGTGTGAATTCACACCCCTGATCAATGCAGCTAAAGCAACCTAATTTTCTAGTGTAGACCAGGCAGAAGTCACCAGTTTTTACATTTCCTCAACTGAAGCAACCACAAACAGGACAAACTATGCAGGGTTTAAAATATTCAAGTATTGTCTTACTGCGACACTTAGCATGTAAGCCATGTACATGTAGCTACTGTATTTGAAACAATTTTTAGAACTACATTAAATTAGTTTAAACTATATGAAATATTGAAAGACAACTCTACAGTGTGCAGCTTTCCTCTCCACTTCTGTTCTAATGTTATTTAAAATTCACTGTTGCTCCTGTGTGCCATTCACTGCTCATCATCCAATATTCGTACCTGAATGGGGAAGGGGTCCTGTGAAATTAATGGTTTGTAATCACATCATTGAAGACTTTACTATAAGGAAGACTCACAAGGGGACAGAGTTCACGTTTCATGGGTAAACTCAGTTTTGATGTCTCCTGGATTTCAAGTGCTTCACTGTGATACCTTAACACATTTTTAATGGGATTTCCTATATTTTTTTGAAGAAAGAAAACCCTCCACAAGTTTCTACTTCCACTGGAGTCAATGGAAAAACTTCCATGGTCTACGATTAAGGACCTCAATGCATATCTTAAGTTGTCTATGGAGCTTCATCAAATGAGTGTGAATAGGCCCACTTATGGACATTTTAACAATTGGGATAAAGCGTTCAGCATCAATGAAAGAAGCAACCAGAGTAGTCCTCCCAAATCCAGGGAGAATATATTATTGAATCATCCTGTTGACCTATTCCCGTTAAACCATGATGTAAACATACCAACCAAGGTTTCAGCAACTAGATCGGGGGGGAGGGAGGGGCAAACTTTTTGGCCTGAGGGCCACATCAGGATTCCGAAACTGTATGGAGGGCCGGGTGTAGTGTATTAAATTGCTCCCCGTAGGAATGTGCTACTTATGGTGTACTACTTATGGCTGCCAGTGCTGGTGCTCTGTAAGTAGCACATTCCTATGGGGAGCAATTTAATATACTACACCTGGCGGTTCTCGCAGCCCCACTGCCCAGAGCGCTGACGGCACAGTGAGCTGAGGCTGCGGGGGAGGGACCGGAGGCGAGCCTCCCCAGCCGGGAGCTCAAGGGCTGGGCAGGACTGTCCCACGGGCCGGATGTGGCCCGCGAGCTGTAGTCTGCCCACCTCTGAACTAGATTAAATACATTATGACATTATATATATATTACACACACACACACGACAGGCTTCCTCCAAGACAAGACATCTAACAACGTTGGATGTGTGTTGGGAGCTACCTACTCTGCCTAATCAAAGGAAAATTCTTGGCTTTCACAGGGATGCCAGCCTTGCTCTGAGACTTTTAAAAATGTTTATGAAAAAAATTAGGAAGGTTGCATGGACCTCTCTCTTCCCCCTCGCCTCCTTTATGGCCAATGAGGAGGCTCCCCCCATTGCACTCTTGTGTTCCCCAATCCCAAACAAAAAGAAGGGGAGGATCGACCCTAGGAAAGCTGCCCTCCTATCCTGCCTAGGGCCCTTAACTATCTTGGCCAGTCCTGGGCCCAGACCTCCCTGAGTAATGGAGAAGAATGCCCCCTATGGCTGCAACTCTAATTGCTGTGTTCAAAGCTGAGTGGTGGTGAGTGAGTCTCTATCTCTGTCTTTCACACACACATTTATATATGTAAAATGTGCAGGCTTGAAAAATCAGTAGATTGAAGCCTGAATTAGTAATTTAATAATTACATTAAAAAATCCAGATGATTACTGAAAATTAGGGAGAGCTGGCATCTGATATTATTAGTATTATATCATGAGAAAGCTTTTGATTGGGTAGAGTGGAACTATTTGGTGTCAGACTTTGAACAATGTGGAGTTGGATACTGCCTTCTTAGATGGATAAAAGGACTCTTACTTCTATGAATCTTAATGTATTGTAGAATTATCAATCAAAATTACTGTACCACTGCAATTATTTCTCAGAAGAAATAAGAATGCCGGAACAACAGGGAAAAGCCAACAAAGCACTAGTTTTCAAAAGGCAAAGTAGTAGCAACTACTACTCCACAGATCTAATTCCTATCCTTAATAAAATAATGGAACAAATACTGACGGGGAAGTTGGTATTAACGAAAGGTGACAGAAGCAAGAGCAAAAAGCAGGACGAATTTATGAAGAACAGATCTTTCCAGACAAACCTCATTGCTTTTTGTTCTTGTTTTTTAATTAGATGTACAAAATAAGTGACTGAAGGGACAAACTAGATACATCACAACTGGATTTCAGTCGAGCAATTACTGAAGAATTTAAGCTTTCATTTAAAATTAAGTTTCTAGCTCTTGTGGTTACGAAGATATTGCCCTATACGTGAGGAACACAGCCTGATCTTCCCTAATCTGCAGATTGTGTGATGCTTTAGCAAAAGGGGCTAACATGATCATTGGGGGTACAGACAGAGGAACATCAAGAAGGAGGAGGGAGATGTATATGGCATTAGTAAGGCAACTACTGGAATAGTGTGTCTAGTTCATGGACTCACACTTTAAAAAAAGGAAGTTGAAAACTGGAGAGGATTCACAGAAGAGCAGCAGAATAATGGGAGATGTGGAAAATATGCCTTACAATGACAGACTAAAATAAGCTCAATATATTTTTCGTATTGATAGAAAGGTTAAGAAGCAACTTGATCAGGGTCTATAGTTACCCACACAGGGAGAAAATATTTGATGTTAGAGGGCTCTTTAATCTAGCAAAGGCTTAAAATGATTCAGTTGATGGAAGCTGAAGTCAACAAAGTTCAGACTGGAAACAAGATGCAAATTTTGAACAGTGAGTGTAATTGAACACTGAAACAGATTACCAAGGAATATGGTAAATTCTCCATCACTTGAAATGTTTACATCAAGACCAGAGATAAAACGGTCAAAAGCATCTAAGTGACTTAGAAGCCTAAGTCCTGTTTATTTCAAGTGAAACTAAGGGGCAGATGTACAAAGGAAATGAAGCCTAGAGATACAGAAGGTGTCTAATGGGATTTGTAAAAGAGCCTATGGTTAGGTGCCTGACTCCTATAAAAATTAAGCCTTGTCAGCTTATTGGCTGAGCTGTCAGAAGACACGTGAGGCCTTGACTAACCTCGGTTCTACTCTGCCCAGTGGTAAAGCCTCTCAAGAGTCTGTGGCTCTTTATGCTCCTTTGTTTCAGAGCTGTAACACCACTCACATGGCTTCAGACATGGTTTTTGTTTGAATGAGCCATCAACACATGCCTGCTTTCCTTATAGCCTTGGCAATAAGCAACAATCCTCCTGGTAAAGGCACATGTATTTGGATGTCAGACCAAAAGGCAAGGATTTGAACTGGAGTGAAGTGAGCTGCCCTAAGAACAAACTCCTGATGTATGTGGGCACTGGACACACTGGGCATCCCTGAGATCAGCTAAGGCAAAGAAATCCTCTTAGTCCCTAGCTGCCAGGACAGAGTGGAGAGAGAGACTCCATCTTGAACTTCTGGAAATGGCTGAATGTTCACAAAATGTATCCAAGAGCGGTCTGACTGCTCTGGATTTTGGGGAGGAAGGGAGACCATAATTTAAACTGAGTTGACTCTTTATAGCAACTGGCCTGATGGGAACAGAAAAGAGGCTCCAACACTGATTAGATGATGCAACCTGTTGATAATATGATTTCTTCGATGAGGGATCATGAATGTGAGAAGAGAAAACAGTTGTCAAAGGAAAAAGGGTGGGAAGAAGGAGGGCTGGAATTCTGAGATATTTCCGTCTCCACAAGACAAGAAACACTTGTCTAACAGGATTGTGGGCTAACCCTCAAGGAGAGAGACAATTTTCTCACTTTGCCCAGCACCACTGACACCCTACCTACTAAGGAGAGGAGTCTCTTGATTCCAGCTGGATATTCCCTATCCCTGAAAGAACTAGACTTCACTACTGGTCTGCAAGACAAAATATGCTGGTATCTGGGTTTATTGTACTTAATGTGAGTCTTCTGGATGTAAACATGTTGTTCTATTCTTTAAAAACAAGGACAATTAATGCATATGTCAAGAATCTGAATGAATGATTTCTTCTCTAAGACCTCACTGAGGGTCAGGTCCGTGAGGTCAAAGAACTTAAAAAAAGAACACTAGATTCTTTGAAGGTCAGGGCCAGGATACTCAGTCTTGACGAGAAGACTCTTCCTCAGAGGGATTATACAATCTGACTGCTGTTTGATATGGCCTCTTGTAGGCCACTGTTGAAGGTCATCCTGTTCTATGCCAACTTGAAGAGACAAGCAAATGTCTTGTCTGATTTAAGACTTCTGTTAGGTACTGGATGGCTGCTCTGGATCATAGGAGACACAGACCTCAGTAAGCACTCGAGTGGATGCTATGATGGTGGCTATTTGAGGGAGAGTTTTACAAGCAAATAATTTCCTCCCACCTCCAGATTTTCACAGACTAAGTTAAAAAATGCCATAAAACTCGTCAAGATAACAGCTCTGCCTGAAGTTCTAGCTGCTTCTTTGACGAGGTTAGTAACAAAAGAGGAACCACCGATGGAGGCTGTGAGAGGTGGTTTGAAGGAATCTGGGAGAAAAGAAGCGTTTTTAGTGATCTGAGTGCCATCTGCATGACAGATGAGTGGCAACCAACTGCCTGTACTTGTGGTAGCTACAGTCTGGAACTAGTGCTGAATCGCTAAGTATGCTATTTCCTCTCCCCTTTCCTTCATATTAATTTCACTTGTGTTAAATTGTAATTTAATTAGCAGTGAAATTCTACTTCTAAAAGTGTAAGCATAGGCTATTGGAGGGTATACATCAAAATACATAAACATTGAGATACCTTTTCCTCTTCACCATGGTCCTGCTGCTTAGCTATTATTGCCGTTTCTTGTGGTAATGCACTCCAAGAATCATTATTCTTTTTAAAGTTATTCCTGGAGCACACACTTGCTTCTGATCCTGCAGGAGGAGTTCCAAAGGGAATTCTATTAAGGTATACTCTCTCCTCTTTAAAGAGACCGAATTTCTTTCTTAATTCCAGGTAGTGTTTCCCATGGGGTTCTCTTTTGTGTTTGAGTTCAGTGGCCTTTTCTGATGAGCACACCTTTTCATTTTGAATCTGAAATAATAAGAATACAGTATATAAGCAGTGATGCAGCCACTCATCAACACACCTGTGATCATTAAAACATTGACATTCTGGTAAAAAAGTGTTCATTAAACTTTAGATATTGGCTTACTTGGAGAAATTACAATATTATAATATGGATCATTTGCCTTTTCATTGCCATGTTCATTTATTTATTTTAAAACAGCATATAAATTCAAGTTATCAAGTCCTGATAGTATACTAACAAAGTGCTATGAGAGGCAAAGGTAGCCGCTTATCCTAAGGTCCCAGAATTACCAAGGAACAGATGACTAAATAGGAAATATTTATCACAACAAGATTCTCCTGGATCACAGTGTGTTTGCTGGTGCCTACATTTCAAAGATGACTGATAATTCTAGAAGTTTGGTATTAACAGTCCTCTGTGCATAATTTTGTTGTAACCTGATGCCACTCTTAACCATCAGGGCCTGTCACACAACAAACACCTGTTTGAGCATGCACATGTGAGAGGAGAGAGGAAGGAAAAACATCTGACACTATCTGATCTCCACAAAGGCCTCAGGAACTGAGAAAGCTCTGACACAAGGGTATCACAAAGCAGACGACAGAAATAAATTCAGTCCGATTTTGGGTGCAGAGGTACATAATGAACTAAAAAACCCAAAACCAAACCCATAATTTGTAGCAGTGATTTAAAATACGTATAAAATGATAAGAAGCGTGCCTGGCTCATGTGAATGGTTGGGCTGGCAGAGGGGAGGCACGGGCCAAAATGGGACTAGAGACAAAGAAATGAAATAATATTTTAAAATAATGAATTTCTCATCTAGAGATCCTCAGCCTTTCTTAGTCTGCAACCACAAAATGGCCAAATACTCTGACTTGCCACTCACTGTATCCTACAATCCTTTGTGGGTACAGAAGATTGTGGGATTTGGGTCATGGTATTATTTTTTTGTGGGTTAAGGCTAAAAAAAAGTGTCTAGTGGCTGGGAAGGGTTGTTGCCAGTAAAATTGCTACTCTGTCTCCCTCAAAGTTTCTTTCTGCCTCACCCCACCGCCCAAAGGGAGTGGATCTCTCCCCCTCAGAGCACAACATTTACATATCTGGATTGGATCCCTCCCCAGCTTGGCACAGCATGTGGGGACCAAGCACCTCCTCTTTCCCCACAATGCATTTGGCAAGAAGGAAACAACTCTTGCCTCTAGTTCTCCCTGCTGGCTGATCCTGGAACTGCTCCATGCTGCTAAGCAGAGTTCTTATCTCCACTCAACTAATCAAGAGCCCTGCAACGGAGGGAAATGCTGAGGGCTACAACACTCCCAGGCTGGGGAATAGCCTCATGTTCCCTCCTTTGCTTCTCCTGAAACCCCTTGCAACTTCCTGAGAGTCACAATCCACAAGCTAGAAAACCCTGCAATAAACAGTTAAGAACAAAACCCAGGGCTGTACTACCCAGTTGCCTGTCCCAAAGGGAACAGGTATGATTGGCATCACATTGCATTGTTCTCTCCTCGTCCTCGGATGCTGTTCTTTTGAATGAGGGACTTAGTGGGACTGTGATGACAAAAATAACGTAGCCAAGTATCATACAGCAAATATGACTTTAGTTTAGTATGGTAGCATGTCCCAGGATGACATGGTAATTGCTACTCGGCATCGTCCTGTTATCTTCTCTTCTGTCCTTGCTTCAAAACCTTTTCCTTCTGTCCCCATACCTGATCCATTCTCCTGTCAACGGCTTATTGCTATGTAAGAAGACTTTGACTTCCTCTACCAAAGCATATGGAGATAAGTATAATTTCACCACAGGGCTAGAGAATCAAAGGTTCCCCTACATTTTCATTTTCTATCCTCACGGATTGATTCCAGGAAAAACACTACCAACTCTCACCATATGCACCTGAAGGACATGCTCCACCTGGAGAAGCTTAAAAAGGTGAAGTTTGCTACTGCAAGCAGGGGCGGGAGGGGAGGGAGGTTTGCCCAGGAGCAGACGCTGCATCCTGGGTGCAATGAAAACATGTACAAACCTCACCCCAGCAACCCAAGCTACCCACATGAAGAGGGGATGACCTCAGCGAGGCATGGGGCCACGCTCAGATGAGGTATCACCTGAATAACCACCTGGTGAGGCAAAAAACTGGGCTGGAGCCCTTGACCTCAGACACAGGTCCCATAGTTTAAACCCACTCCCCACCAGAAAGGAACCGCAGGGAAGAGCTCGATAATCTGCTGCTCCCGGGGACAACAGGGGAATATGAAAAAAGAATGCCCTTGGATGGAATGAGACTACACAGAGGGATGGACAAAAGAGGGGGCCTGTAGGAGGACTCCCCCCAGTTGATGGTCAGAGGATGGGTCCAAGGGAAGGCGGTCTGTACCCCTATGTTCACCCCTTTTACAAGACTATGATACATTTTGTACAAAGCATACTGTGTAAGGTATCATTTGAAAACTCATGATTTGCTGATCATTATTGTCCTGGTAAAGTATGTGTGGCAACACTGTATGTAAAGATACAAGATTCCACCATATGATTTTGCCCAGGCCTTGTTCCAGCATGTTCTGGAAGGCAGTCACAAACAAGTTCCTGGCCACACAGACTTTCTGTCTCCTGAACATCAGTGGGAGATGATTCTTGAGCAAGAGAAAGGGCTACAAGAGGGCAGCGCCCCAAATCGTCTCTCCCTTGGTCGCTGCCCACGGCATCATCAACCCCCGAAGAACAAAGGAAGCCGCACTGGACTGGGGGAAGGAGGGAAGGGGAGATCCTGACTTAAAGAGGTTCAGCCAGTCCCTACATCCATACAGGAAGCCTGCCCCACAGCTAACCCATCTAAGTGTAAGTTGGCTGTGACAGAAGTAACTTATTTTAGGGTATCAGATAAGAGGAGGCATTGTGAAACCTGTATTGGACAAAGTCCATGAATAAACTCATGCCCCACGCTACAGACGAGTAGAGATACACGGCGCTTTCTGGGCCTGATGGGATACTATCACCTCAACTCTGCATCAATCACAGCTCCCCATACCCATCTGCTAAAAGGCAAAGACACTAATGCCTGGTGGGTTGAAACCTTGAATACTCTGAAGATGCGACCAAGCCAGGCGCTGGTCCTTGCCAACCCAGACTTCCCCCGGGAGTTTATTTTCTATACAGATGCTTCCGATGTTTGCCTGAGAACGGCACTCTCCCAGGAGCGTACCCAATCTCATATTTAGGCAGGAAGTTGTTCCCCAGGGAGAGACTGAATTATTGAGAAGGAAGCTGTGGCTATCAAATGGGCTGCGTACTTCCTCACGTATTACCTGTTGGGTAGTCCCTTTTCTCTAGTCACAGACCATGTCTAGTCACAGCTGTTGCAGTGGCTACCCTCCATGAAGGATTCAACCTCCCAGATTATGCATTGATATCTAGCACTCCAGCCCTATAGCTTCAGAGTGCAGCACCAAGCAAGGAAAGAGCATGCAAATGCATTTTTTTCCCAGGGAGATGGGACTGGGGAGACTCTTAAGCAAGAAACCTTTCTGGACTTGAAGAGGGGTGGTATGTGATGGGTTACGCCCCCATCCCACTGATGGAAAGGCAGAGCATTCCTGCATTCAGGCAGTGCCAATAAGGTACACCTACAGAACATGCTCCAGCAGGAAAAGGGGAGCTTAAAAAGTGACGCTCGTTACTGCGGGGGGAGGAGGGAGTTTGCCCAGGAGGAAAGGCTGCTGGGGACTGGCAGTGAGCTTCAGTAGCAAGGGGAGCCCAGGCCAGGGTAGTGGCTGCCCTTTCCTTTACCCCACACCCCTCTTCTTTGGGGGAAGACTGACACTGCAAGCCTGATATGGGCAAGAGGCATTTGAAGGCTGCTCTCAGCCAATAACCGGTGGCAAGACCTGGGGAAAGTCAGCATGGACTAGAGATATTTGGACTCAAAAGAGATCCTGGGAGTGAACTGAACTCCTGCCAGAAGTGGTGAAATTGCCGGGGTGGGGGGGCGGGAGGGGGCTCCTATAGGGAACCCAGGGGCAAGAAACTATGGCAGAGCTCAGGCTGAGGGTCAGCCAACTACACCCTATGAAAAAGGATATCAGACTATTTTTTGGTTTTATTTTTTGTGTACATGTTTTTTATATTAAAGTCCTCACTTCTACTTATGCACTGTGACTTTTTAACCTTACTTTTTACTAAGCTCTTAGGGGAAGAAACTATCAAAGAAAGTCAACCACTGGCCTCTCTACTTGTGTCTTCCTCCCCTCCAGTTGGATATCGTCAGAGGTAAGTCTATGGTTGCCTGGCATCCACTTTTGCACCTGGTAGCCCAGTCCCCTTGGACTTCCAAGGCTTCAGCTGGTTTGCACAAATACCATTATCTCACACTGCAGTGACTCTGCTGGTTCAGTCTCTGTCTCTTGCAAAGTGAGCACAAAGCAGTTTCAAATAAGCATTCCCCTCTTTGCCAAATGCCCAGAAGAGGCTGGGACTTGGCTGATAGGAAAACAGACTGATGGGACAGGACTCACTCTTCCTTCCGGAAGGAGAGCTCCTCCTCGGTTCCATCGGAAAGGGAGCACAGCTTGGAATAAGGGGTATGGTTCAGTAGGAGTTTTTAGTTAGTTTGTTCCAGATTAAAAAAGGCAATCATTGGCTAACACAGAAGTAAGCTTCCCTTTCTTTCCTCTTCTCACATTTGTTCATTTGCATAATACAATCTTACTGATTAAAACCTTATTGCTTTTCTTTTTGGTTAATTAAGAAACATTTGGGGGGCAGGGCAGCATGCTTGTTTAGAGAAAAATGTGATTTGAATGACACTGGCTTCAGTCACATAGAATCAGGATGTAGACGTAATTTGGTACAGATAAACGTGGGCACATTTTGCTGTAGACAGTTACCTTTTGTTCTTCTTCACTGAAAGCATAATGTTGTTTTGACTGAGGAGTAACAGCAGTTGCTGCTTTAGGGGAATGACTCTTCTCTTTGCTGTTACAATGCATGTTTTCATCCATC